CCGAACACGAGCGAACAAACTGTTGTTCGTGTTCGGCTCGTTTACATTTCGAGCTTAAAAATTTGTTCGTGTTCGGCTCATTAGACTTAACGAACGAGTCGAACACGAGCTGCTTAACGAGCCGAACACGAGCTGTTCACTAACAACGAGCCAAATTGACAGCCCTAATTATAACACCCTATTTATATCTTCTTATTAACATGCAACTTATTCAACTAACATTATGGAATTTCAATTTTAAATGGGTGAATTAAGTGAAGACACCAAGATTATGGTTAACAAAATGACTTACTGTCAGACAATCATAGTTACTTACATTACGCCCTATTAAAAAACTAATTAAAACAGATGAAAAAGAAATCATTACAACTGCAAATGGCGATGCTATTCCGACATCATTGATAAACTTATTTTCCCAAAAATTTTCAAAATGCTACGAAGCAGTATTGATGGTGGTGGGGTGGTTTGCTTTCATGATCCAGGAGAATTTAAAAATTGTTCTTTAAGATATTTACCTTTTAATACATTAATGCAGTAATGAAAAATATTCATGCTGATGGTGGTAGACAAGTAAATTCATATATTTAAAACAATACATAGTAAAATTCCCAAAAAGTATATAGAATTCACTAGAAAATATATCAATACTTGCGGCGAGAGTATATATTTATTGGCTAAATTGCTTGATTAATTGCCAGTATTATAAAACCTAGGCCCATAAAGAAAACAATTTATAAAACCTAGGTCCAAAAAAAAAAAAAAACCATGCAAATTCAAGATAAAAAAAAAAGAATATTTCCAGTCGTGGTTGTTTTCATACCCTAAAGGTACACATATGAGTTATAAAATTAAGGAAGATTTACATACATACCACTCAATTCATAGATATTTACATATCTAAACTTTTACATAACACCTTACCCATGCATGAAAAGGTGTATTTCACTTTTTAAAAATTAAAAAGGCTGTACTTTTTATGTAATATAAAATATTTGTGTGGTATAAATGTGGCAAACAAAATTTAGAAGTTAAATATGTGAATACATAGGAATTGAGTGGTATGTATGTAAATGATCCAAAAATGAATTAAGAGTTCTACCTGTTGCCCAGAACCAATATGTTGAATGTGTATACTTCGGTGGAAACAAGAACACCAATACTGGGATTGCAATGCATGGAATAAAATGGAAGATGATGCATAACCTGAGGTCATCAAAGGTCCTAAAATTGCACAATCAAACAACTATATTAATCTTCTTCAATAACTAAGAAACCACAATAAAATTAGAGAAGCTCACCCACCTTTCAATTGTGGCACTAACAAAAACAAGCATCAGAAGAGAAATCAAACAAGATATTCCAACACGCTCATCCAATCTCTCAATAACCAGGTTAGACAAAAGAGAAATGGTAGAAATCATCATCTGCATCAAATAAAATATTCCCACAAAGAATGTTGAATAGGAACAATTTGGGAAATGCAAGCAAAATTAACAAATTTATTAGATCATCATAAACCAAATAAATAAGAGCATAAAATATATGTTTTATAAAAATGATACATAAATTGCAGAAACAACATCAAAACCAATTGGCAAGGTTAGGAAAGAAAATGGGAGCAGATGAAGCAGT